TTGGACTGCGGTTGACTATTCATACTGTACGGTGAGTTGTTGACGTGTCCGGGTAGGTCTGGGGCGTGACAGGATCGGCTCGGGTCCACTCTTACCTATCAACTAAGTCGGTCACGGTCCCGATCCCAAGCAAATCATTGTATTATAAAAGGAAAAATTCACATGCATAAAAATTCAATTATCAGTTGTCTTCTAACATGTTTTTCCTTTTTATATGAAGCAACAGTCTCATTTTTTCATTACAATATAAAGAGTGGAAAAACGTTTGTTTTGTTTGCAAGGATTTTTTACTTGAACTATAATTTGTTGGTCTGGTCTAATCTGATCCGTTTAAGTCTGATTTGAACTGGTATGTTTTGGTCTGGTAAACGTCTGGTCTCTATGTATTTTATAACTACGGAAGTCAAATTTGGGACTGAAAACAGACCAAGTAAAAACATGTTAGTCGAGTTTCAAATTTATTTAGTCAAACTATATTATTTAATTTTATTTTGACGAATATTTTCCCCCATTTGGTACCCTTGAGTCGGACCAAATAGTAGCGGGGGATGGGGCGGGATGGTGGAGTGAACTCTCATCCCAACTCCACCTCATTGCCACCCCTAGTGAAGGTGAATATAAGAGTGCATTTACTAACACAAAAATAGATGAAATCTTTTGAGGTTGGTGAAGTTATTGTGGTATCAACTTAATTAAGAAAAGTAAATATTTTGTTAATGAAATAAAGAAAAATATATATAAAAAATGATTTTTATTAGTTTAAGACTAAAATTAGTTATATATCAATAAAGGAGTTGAAAGATGAAAATTATCGATATAGATTATAGAATACAAATGATTGCAAACTATCCATCTAAGAGTTAAATTATCATGATTTTCTTTCTTTAATCTTTTATACAAAGTCTATTTTATGACTAATTTTTGAAGATTTTTTTATGCACAACAATTTATTAATTTGATAGAATAAAATAGTATTTAGAAAAACAAAAAACAATTATGGTATTTTATGTGTTAGATTGATTTTTTTTCAATCATTCAGACTTACTTCGATAATTTTACATTTTACCCCTCATATCCTTGATCGATAGTTATTCTATTTTTCACATCCTAGGTTCTAAAAATAGTTAATTTTAATCTTTTTTCACAAATTCAATCTATTTAACTAGAAAAATAATGACTACTCGGTATTATACAATTCAGCTTGAGAGAATAAAAAATTATATTTTGTAAAAAATGACAAATAAGAGCGATGAGATGAAAACAATAGTGCCCATATTTATGTTAGCAATTTAATTTGCTCTTCATTTTGTTCAAAAAAATTATGGAGCTCTATATGATCCCACAATGGAGTCATATATACATGTGACATTATCACAATCATTCATTTCTATAGTGGATTTACAGTGGAGGACCATATTTCATGAATGAATGATTGTGATGGTGTCACATATGCTATATGATTCCATAATAAAGTCATATAGGGCTCCATAAAATTTCTCCCATTTTGTTTCCGTCTATATTATGCATGCATGATTTCTCAGACCTAAAAATAACACATGATAAAGTAGTTAGTTACTCATCAGTAAAAATAAATGCGTAGTTACTCTAAAAAAAAAGAATTGTCCTAAATAGGACTAAAACATGGTTAAAATTCCACAATAGGACATTAAGTTTATTCTTCCTTAAATAGGACTCGCAATTACTTTTTTACCCTTTATTTTATAAAACCCCCAAATAGCTATAGGCTGGAGCAGATGCACAACCATTTGCGACGAAGACGCGCAGACCATCTGCGATGAAGACCAGTCCGCTCACCTACTCTTCTCCGGCATCAAGCGTTAGCTCCGTTTCTCGGATCTCCTGTCAAGATGCTTCATCAGAGTTTTTGAACAACAGAGAATCCTTTGTTCTGGACCTCGAACTCTCCGCACATTGATGAAGTTGGAAATCCAAAACAAATCGTAAATGATAAAGAAATGGAGAAGCCCCCGTTTAATGGATTTAGTATCGGCAAAGTTACTCTAGGTTCTGTCAGACACCCAGGTAATTTTCTCCATCTCTTCTCCTCTCATCTCTTCTTCTTCCTCCTCTTTTCTTTTTCTGTCTTCTCCTTTCCATCCTCTTGGTCCTCTGTTTTCTTCTTCTTTAGATTTCAATTATTTATTTATTTATTTATTTATTTATTTATTTATTTATTTATTTATTAATTTTGATTAATTTGGAACCTCGAAATGCCATAAATTATACTCCCTCCGTCCCATTTTGGATGTCCTACTTTCCTTTTTTGGTTGTCCCAAAATGAATGTCTTGTTTCCTTTTTTGGCAAGAAATATGTGGTTCTTATCATTTCACTTTATTCTACTCAAATCTCAACCGCAACTTTTACTTTTCAACCACTTTATTAATAAGCGTGCCAAATTGAAAGTGGACAACCATTATGGGACGGAGTAGTAAGCAATTAGAAAATTGTCACTTTTATGACATTATTACTCTTTCGAAAATGTCATGAGATGTCATTCTCTCTTTTGAACTGTCATCTTGACAAATGTAATGTCATAAAAGTGACATTATTACAAAAAAGTTTGTCTACCCTCCGGTGAGTTTGTGCATTCCTTCATGAGGAATGCCACTTGATATACGAGAATGCCACTTGATATGCGAAAATGCCACGACAATGACAATTTCGTATAGAAATATGGCATTCTCAATATGACATTTCCGTATATTGTAATGACATATAAATGACATTTTGTTAAAATACCCAATAATTTTGACATTCTCTTATTCAAAAAGTGACATTTTCTGGAATAATTTGTCAAGGCATTTTGAGATTCAAATTAATCAAAATTGATAATAAGAAATTCAAGTTCAAATTTATCTTCTCCTTTTTAAAATCTGATTGAGAAGAAGTTAACATAGAAGCAGAAGAAAAAGATGAAGAAGAAGAAACTTACCTGGACATGTAGCAGAGGTCCATCGCCAACGACATTCATCGCACCCGTGAACATTCAGCGCAGAGTTATGCGCGTTGCACTAATCAAGGCTATTTTTGTCCAAATACAATTAATTAGTCCTATTTAGGGAATTTAAAACAATATGTCTTGTTTTTGCAATTTCACCTTCTTTTAATCCTATTTAAGGAATTCTCTCTTAAAATACGTAGTTCTGTAAGGTAAAACAAGGTGCGTCACAGTAAGTAAAATTTGCAATTCTTAGATTGTCATCGCAATTTACTCGTTCTGTAAATAAGTTTTTTTTTGAGAGAATTCCCTAAATAGGAGTAAAAACGTTGTGAAATTCCAAAATAGGAGTATCATGTTTTTTATTCCCTAAATAGGAGTAAATTTCTGCCAAGTTTGGGCATTACAAGGCTTTAAACATGGCATTTTCTTCCAAACTTGGCAGATTACTCCTATTTAGGGAATAAAAAACATGATACTCCTATTTTGGAATTTCAAAACGTTTTTACTCCTATTTAAGGCAATTTGTGTTTTTTTTGCTCAGGTTACTTTTAGCTTCAATAAATAAAACGTTCATTGAAAAAATGTACACTAAGAAGCTGTTCCGTTCACCTGATCTGAATGTTTCTGATCTGAATTTTTTAAGTTCTGATCTGATCTGATCTGAATTTTTCTGATCTGATCTGATCTGATCTGAATCTTTCTGATCTGATCTGATCTGATCTGAATCTTTCTGATCTGATCTGAATCTTTCTGATCTGATCTGAATGTTGCTGATCTGGTCTGATCTGATCTGAATGTTTCTGATCTGATCTGAATGTTTCTGATCTGAATCTTTCTGATCTGATTTGAATATTTCTATAATTGTAATTGTAATTACAATTATAATTATTAGATTTATAATTGTAATTAAAAATATAACTTAAATAAAATTACAATTATAATCATAATTATAAAAAAATAATAATTAAAATTAAATTTAAAATTATAATAATTATACCAATTACACTAATTATAAATACAGATACAATTATAAATGTAATTATATTTTTAATTATGATTAATTTTATAATTATTATTGTAATTATAATTATAATATTTATTTCTATAGTCATAATTATGTCTATAATTACTAATTTAAATATATAATTACTCCGAAGTAATAACAATTACAACAATAACAACAAGAACAACAATCATATTAATAATACTGATGATTATAATTATAATTACATTGTAAATCATAATTATAATTATAATTATAAATATATTATATTATATTATATTATATTATATTATATTATATTATATTATATTATATTATATTATATTATATTATATTATATTATATTATATTATATTATATTATATTATATTATATTATATTATATTATATTATATTATATTATATTATATTATATTATATTATATTATATTATATTATATTATATTATATTATATTATATTATATTATATTATATTATATTATATTATATTATATTATATTATATTATATTATATTATATTATATTATATTATATTAATAATAATTTTATATTATTAACATTATTATTATATTATTATTAATAATATTATTATATTAATATATTAATATTATTAACAATAACTATAATATAATAATCATAATTAATATAATAATAAAAGTGATAAATCATGTTTGAATTTTTTGACCTGATCTGATCTGAATGTTTCTGATCTGATCTGAATGTTTCTGATCTGGTCTGATCTGGTCTGAATCTTTCTGATCTGATCTGAATGTTGCTGATCTGATCTGAATCTTTCTGATCTGATCTGAATGTTTCTGATCTGATCTGATCTGAATCTTTCTGATCTGATCTGATCTGATCTGAATGTTTCTGATCTGATCTGATCTGAATAAAATAAGATTAAGGAATAAGTAATAAGATTAAGACGAACGGAACAGCTTCTAAACAAAGTCATCATGAACTTTTGGCCCGATTGCATGCACCTGGACGATAATATAGCCGTAGATTCTAGATTTTCACTCGGCGTGAGCCCCGCGGATTTTGCCCGGTAACTTGTAGGCCCCACCAGCGGGCCCCCACCGAACTCCTCGAGTGGATGGATCGCCGCCATAAGTACTGTCCCTACGTCACAGACGGCAAGTAACTCTTCCGAAATACGTAGCTCTCTCTTTGCTCGTCTCTTTTGATCTTTTCCGGCTCCGAATTGGATTTCTTTCAACCGTCCCGACGATCATATCTGTTTCTGCGTTTTAGAAGCTCCGATTTCATCACTTCCAAGGTTAGTTTAGTTCAAGTTTGCTCCTTGATCACCGAATAGCTGACCGTTTTCTGGTCTGGTGATCTGTATTCGCTAAATCTGATTGGAGTTCTCTGTTCTTGTATACTTCAGTGTTATTTCTATGGCGAACTTGCATAGGGGGCACGGTAACATGCCTGTTTTAAACGACACCCCGCTTGAAGAGGACATCAGGATTCCACACGGGAGCCCGGTTCCGGATGAATTTTCAGATTCTGACTTTGAGGATGATTTTGAAACGGTAATCACAGATTCAAGTAGAAAAGAGTTCGGGGTTCCTGCCTGTTTAGAGGACTCCATTGATTTCAGTGATTTTATGTTGACAGGGTAATCGGAAAACAGATACATCTGCGCTGGAGGCCAGAAATGGCAAGGATATCCAAGGGATTCCTTGGGAACGTTTAAATATTACCAGAAAGTCTTGCCGCGAAGAGAGGTTAAAGCAATACAAGAACTATGAGAGCCTCTCGCGCTCTAGAGAAGAGATTGAAAAGGTTTGGTTCTACTGTGGAAGTCTTTGTGTGACTGAGTAGAAAGGCCAACCTATTAGCTCTTATATGAGATGACTTGAGCTTAGATTAGCTTTCAGTAGGCTAAATATTCACAGTTCTATTTCAGGACTACAAGGATGTAGTGAAAGGGCAAAACTTTTTTGACTTCCAATACAACACCAGGCTTGTAAAACCAACCATTGTGCACTTTCAGGTGAATTAAATTTTCAGCTACTCTCAATTTTTGTGCTCCAGATATTGTATGATACACCATGTGGCTATCTTTCAGTATCTTGCACTTGCACATTGTGAAATGGATTGAAGTGTGTAGCAGTGTAGGATGTCTTCGGAAATTCACACATCATTTAAATACATAATCAACTTATCAAAGTTAACCTGGTTCTTCTTTTGTTTTGTGAGAATCAATATTCCCTCTCTGCAGTGATGTGAGAATGGTGTAGAGTGGACTGGAGATATCTAAGGAATGTCACTCATGTGTTTGAATTACGGAACATAGTAGATCATATCTCCCCACATTGAGTGCCCTACTTGGTTAACATTACTTGATTTTTAATTTGATTTTTATTTTGTTTGATTTAGTATGTTAATTCACATAAAACAAACTATATCAGAAGTTCTGCATACATCATGGTCATTTTTTACAAGTCAAAGAAAACAAACGAAAAAGAACAGTTAGCTAGTAGAATGTGATGTCTAATCCACATTGCTAGATATGACACAGTGGGGCACACAGTCTAAGGAAAATGCAATCTCATTCCTCCCCTAGCTGCGTTCAAGCATTGTGCCTATCACTGTAAACTGGACTGTATGATCGTGCCCTTCTTTTCTTTGACATTTCATCTGTTTTGTTTCTGAACACTTTTTATGTGAGGCTAACTCATTCAGTCTCTTACACTTCACCTAGTAGAATGTGATGTCTAATCCACATCTAATTCATTTCACATTTAATGCATTTAGACTTATCATTGCTAGAGTGATTTAACCCCTTGCTTGTATTCCTCCTTTTCAAATGCAATAATAATAGTTTTGCAGGTGTTTTCTTCGAATTAAGCCTAATGGGCATTTTTATTTATAATGCTAACTTTCTGCGAATAGCAATCATGGAGGTATGAGTTTTGAGCGTTACAATCAATTTTGAGTTTGTAGTATTAGTCTTATGAACTGCTAACTTGACCCTGAGCAGTTCCAGGAATAATTATGTCAGTCTACCAGATGATGCTAATTGTGGCCTTCAAACTGGTGACTTTCTACTAACTTTAATGTTTATGTTGATTCCTCCACCCCAAAAGCTATATAACTGCTGGGATCATACAAGTATCTCATTTTATCAGAGATGGAGGGAATTGACATGATGAGTAGTATTTCTTATATGGACTTGAGTTGTGTCCACCCACTATGATATTTGTATTATTTTATTGCAAGCTCAAGATTTATTTGTATGGATTCCATTCTATCTTGCATATATTTATTTCATAGTTATATTTACTATTATGCTGATGTATTAAGTTCTTTTCTACACACAGTTCAAGAAGCTATATGAACTTAAGTTCTTTGCCTGTATGTAATTTATACTTTCACTACACTGGATAAACACTATATATTGTGTTAGCTTGAGTCTCTGTTGCATTTCAAGTTTTATATGCTTGTGAAAACAGTCTTTTTAGATGCATTTCAACCCCCCCCCCCAGTTATGCAACTCAAACTTTGGCAAAACATTAAATCTGCACCAACTATTTTCGATTTGTCCATACTCCATACTGTCTCTTTAGAGAATAAACTAGAAATTGTCAGCTATACCGTTTTCAAGGTGATGGCAGGACAGAAAACTGGCCTATATCAATTGTTGGAGCTCATAATTATTGGTATAAATAGTTTTCTAAGTTGCTAGATTGCTAGGGTTCTATATAATACTCCGTACTTTTTGTGGGACTGAGCCTTTATGCAGTTATGCATTATCTTGCATTAGTTGTGTGGCATACTATTTTTCCCTCATCTTGTGACTCATGTTTCTTATTGTGAAGGAAAAACTGAGCTTAATGCAACGTGGAATGGTCTGGGTTTCAATTATGTGTATGAGTATTGTTTTTCATTAATTAACCAATATATCTTGTCAGATTATTATGTTGTATGTATTTCAGCTTTAGAATCATGAGGCAATTAATATCTGGGCAGCGTTGCTGGCACATTAAGGCACTTTTTCCATATGTTATGATGGAGAACATATGAGATTTTGAAGACCTTTTCAGGATGTTGCCACTTGCCAGCCTAGCTCAGAACTATTATTTTTCTTTTACACATGCTGGATTAATGGATTATACTTAGTTGATTGCATTTTGATGAAACATCATGTTTTGCTAAAATTGCACGGATAATTTTTTTGAATTACTGTTTCCTTCTAAAACTACTCTCCTGCATTTTCATCTCTCTAGTTTGAAGTACTTTTTCCTTCTAAAACTATTCCCGTATGCATATCCAGTTTCTCTCCTGGCTGTAAATTCTAGGTTGCCATGTCATTTTCTATTATCTTGATTAGAAGATCCCTGCTCAATCTTACTGAAGATGGTCCTCTGTGTAAGACCTCTTTTATGCACCATACACATCTGTACGTGCCCAAAGTGTCCAATATTTGTTCATATATATCTTTTAGTTAAACCGACTCAAATTTTCCTCATGATTCACTAGAATGCTAATACATGTTGCTTCATTTTTACCAAATAATCTTTTTGATATTTTCCAGCTGTTATTGACAAGGTGGGTTCTTTGGTTTTAGCTAAGGAGTCTCTTGTGGTCGACATCCAAGCATGATGTCTATTTCATGCGAAACAACTCTTTCGTGCACTGGTCTTCTCTTCTCAGGAGACAAAAGGAGGTTGTTAACATGGCTAGACCACTTGAGCCAACAATGGTAAGTAGAAAATTACTCTCATATGCCCTATAACCATTCACAAACTACTTTTGGTCTATGGACTGTAATGACGGTGAAACTTTTGGCGTCCAACAGAGACACAATTGGTCATCCACCTATTATGACACTTTCACAATAGTCAAAAGACTAAAAGATAAAAAAAATCATGGACATAAGAAAAGTGTTTCTTGCACAACAGTCGAACCATTAAAAGTGAAACAATTCTAAGATTAATACAAGAACTGTCACCGACACGGTAACACAGTAGTCAAAGGACTATATAAGTCACAAAAAACTCATGCTGTTAACAAATAAACCATCATTTAGCTACCCAATAAAATAAGACGTATGAACATGGCTAATCATGTCCTGTCATATTTATATTTATTTTTGCTTTGGCTCTACTATTTATGAATCAATAGTGGTATGTTTTGCAATTTTATGAAAATTTTATCAACGCCTTGAGAAATGTATGAGTGTATGACCACTTCTTTAAAGAATGGAGAGGGATTATTCATTTTTGCTCTTAACGTGAACTTGTAGTGTTTTTAGCCTTTGGGCAATGACAATTTGATTTCCGTGTACAGAAATACCCTGGATCGGTTGGCCAGGCACTTTCTAGAGTGCAGATATGCGCAGTTGCTGTTAAAGACAATCTAATGGTAGCAGGTGGTCTACAAGGAGAACTAGTCTGCAAGGTATGAAGATTAAACATCACACTCAAAGGGGGATATTGGGAAGTTTGCCCTACTCTTTGTGATAATTTGTTGGTTATTCTGCTTTTTGTAGCACTTGAACAAACCGGAGATTGCCTTTTGCACTAAATTAACAACTGGCCGGAATGCTACAACTAACACAGTGGACATTTTTCAAGCACCAAAGTAAGTTCAAAATGAAAACCAGTTAAGAATAAACAAGACTATAAGAGAGAAATGAAAACTTAATAAAGAAGATTCTACTGAAGAGGGAGTGTCACAGGCTAATGCTTTCATTTTCAGTGGCTCATTGAAGCTTATGGCTGCAAATAATGATGCGCAAGTTAGAGTGCTTGATGCCCAAAGCTTTGTTAATCTAAACTGTTTCACATTCCCTTGGTCTGTGAATGTGAGTTTATTTTTTTTGTTTACTTTTTCATTGCATTCAATACATACCCGTATTAGAATATGAATTAATTTCCATGTTCATATCCTCGGGTAGAATATTTCTGCCAGTCCAGATGGTAAAATGATCACTGTTGTTGGGGACGATCCAGAATGTCTAATTGCTGATTCTCAATCAGGAAAGGTTAGTACTTCCTCTTTTCAACATAAGAGAGACGCAACAGAAAGGTGAGAGGAAGAAATCTGAGTTAGTTATAAAAACAAATATAACCTTATGTTCATATATTAAAAAAATAAATAAAAAACAGTTATAGAGAACAATAGAAAAACTCCTCTTTTTCCTCTCCTCCTGTTTGAGGAAGCCCCTCATATTTTTATTTCTCTACCCAGCGTCTCTCCCAATAGAAAAGCCCCTTCCTTCCTGTCTTTCTTTACTTCCTCCGTTCCTCTCAATTTCCCTCTAACAGACAAAGCATTGATTTTTCATTTACCAGTTTACCATTACCTAATCATCCCTATTAAAAACCAAGTACTAATCATATACTGTATGAAATTGCAAACTTAACAAAGAGTAAAATGAGAAATGCATATCAAACCAATTGCTCCAATTAACATAACCATCTTTTCCTCTAATTGTGTGTAAAAAGATAATTGACTGCCTCTGTGTGACATTGCTTGCTTTTTTAAGGTGCCAATTGATTTTGGGGTAACATTTACTAATATTACCACTTTACAGGTCGTGGGCAACCTTAAAGGTCACCTAGACTATTCCTTTGCTTCTGCATGGCACCCGAATGGACAAGTTGTAGCAACTGGTAACCAGGACACAACCTGTAGATTGTGGGACATCAGGAACTTGTCACGCTCTTTTGCTGTACTAAAAGGAAGGATTGGTGCAATCCGTACAATCCAGTTCAGTTCAGATGGCCAATTCTTGGCCATCGGTGAACCAGCCGATTTCGTGCATGTTTTCCTTACCGATTCTGACTATGTCTCCTGTCAGGAGATTGATTTGTTCAGTGAAATTGCGGGAATATCATTCAGCCCTGATACTCAAGCTTTGTTCATTGGAATTGCCGACAGAACATATGGAAGCTTGTTGGAGTTCAATCGCAGGCATTATAATCACTATGTCGACTACCTCTGAAATCCTTTCGACGTGTTCTTAACTTTGACTTTGTATTTCGATATCTCAGGATTGCTAGCATGTGCAAAAATCAAAACACAAACTAATGTTGGTTTTCTCATCGAGATTAGATCGGATGAGTGAATCTACAAATATAGATAAGGTATATAGCAAAGTAGTACTAATATTGTGATGGTTGAGCTTCCATGATGGTCTCAAATATTATAAATCACTTCAAATGAACAAAAGAACTAAATTGAAAATAAAAAACTTCTTAATAAAAGAAAGAAATAAAAGTTACAACCAGGAAGAATTTTGAAACCCTTCTAATTAGGATGTTTTCTTTTGGACTGAAATTTGCTGGTCTGGTCTGGTCTGGTAAACGTCTGGTCTCTGTGTATTTTATAACTACGGAAGTCAAGTCTGGTCTGTTCTGGGACTGAAAATAGTCCAAAAGAAAACATCCTTAAAAATTTAGTGTGTTAATTGGTAAAATATCCCACAGGTTGCAACCGTTTTCAAACTGCTCTAACATTCTAACCTAAAAGTGAAATGTCCATACCATCTACCGCTCCTTAAAGTGTGGTGAATTGTTGACCGTATAATGCAAATTTCAAGCCAAATGGCTAATAGTCCGATGGACTTGTTTTAAGAGAAGGTCTTGCCAATTTAACTCCATCTATGTGAGAGGTTTAACGAGGTGCTTAGCTAAGGCCCAGGGGTTCACCCCAAATTTCGAAAAAAGCTTTCTAATTTATGTGTAAGGAAATTATGTAATACGATAGTAGTTTATTTGTCTCAATCCACACTTTTTTATTTATCTTGATACGCTATTGGGTTTAATTGGTAATGTTTGTGATTTAAGCAAACTTAACTACTTTCTTGACAAAACCTTCTTTTTTAAAAATGCAAATCCCAAAATGATATTCCTAAAATGAACAGTCGGCACACTTCCACACCAAAGCATGCTTCACTCAGAAAGTTATGAATTTGCTTAAATTTTTTGGTAGAAAGGTGAAAATCACATCTGCACATGCTTTTGCCATACAGCATGAAAGATTGCTTTAGAATTTAAGTTGTGTGGGCCACCTTGTCGCGTATAAATCGGGATTTGACCGAGTCATTGTCCACTGCTACACTTCTTTACAAGTTGTTCCCACCCAGCAACCACTCTATTTATTCGATCAATTACTTGCCCCACCCCATCTCCTTGGTTTCACATTGGCAAACTGACATTGCACTATAGTGATTATTGATTAATATTCCTCCATATGAGTATTTAAGATCACTACATTAGATTTTGGTATAATATTTTGATAAGAACAGAAAATAACTTGCAACAGTTGCCAAAGTTTAAAGCTTAAACACACCAATTTTATTAATAACAAAGCATAGTTTGAATAACCCTCTTAGGGGTATAAATAGACTACTTCTCCTAATTAATGTAAGACTCCTAAAACTCATACTAGGAAATAAACTTAAACTAGGAAACATATTAAAAGCCGATAATTAATAAAAATAAGTCGCTAATTAAATCTTCAATTAAATCAGCCCGTCAGCCCACGAAGGTGGGCTCCTTCCCGTCCGCGCCTTCTGTAAACGATCCAGGGCCTGGGGCCCTGTTCTTCTTTGTTCGCACCTCCTTGCCGATCCGCAGGGTCAATCGGCTCCATATCATATTTAAGGGAGTAGTAGTAGATGTAACAAGGAGTGTTTGCAACTGATTCTGCTTCTGCTTCTTTTTTAAGGCAAAAACAAAATCGCAATCAGTTTTCAGAAGTCGATCTGATCTACCTCAACCTCTAAAAAAAATTGGTTCTAGGAGTAAATTAGAGCCCCAGAAGTACTTTTGCACTTTAACCCAAATACTCCAACTTCTGCTTCTGCTCCCTGAAGGAGCATAAACAGTTTTAACAATCAGATCCAAACACCCCCTAAATAGTGTAATGAGTATATAAAAAGTATGAAGGAGGTGAAAAAGTAGAAAAGAGAAGATAAAAAGAAGAAAATGTAAGAGAAATTGAGTATTTTTAAATGAAAACTTACCAAAAAAGAAAAATGTAACAAACTTTTAAATACATCCCAAATAGGAAAGTGTAACAAACTTTTAAATACGGAGGGAGTATGCAGGATGTGTGAAAGTAATGAAGAAAAAGGGCAGAAGCTAAACTATTTGAAAACCTCACCATATAATTAAATGGTTCCCTCACTCTTTGACGAGGTTATATAAGTCAACTCTAAACTGAGCAATACTTCCTCGCACGATAACAAAACAATCTACGTTCTCAAAACTCACCCAAACCATGAAAGTGAGTATTATCTGAACAAAAAATACGACATAGCAAAAAATAAAGCTTGAAAGAAATAGTGTATGTTTATAACTTGTTTAAAATAGAGAAATAAGTCATCATCATCATTATCATCATCATCATCATTACCTCATTGCCGCAAAGGCTCTCACCTACGGTGGGGTAAGGGGGTCGGATGTACATAGTTTGTTCGGAGAAATAAGCAAATTCCTAAATTAATTGATTAAAAAGGAAAGTAATATAAGGGCATGCATGGAATAAAAGTACTACTATACCTAAATTCCGAGCCGCACCAAACCCTATGAGTTCTATGAAGCGGCGGCCAAAAAGTGGGACATCGATGATCGAGTAGCCAGGCAGTGGTGAAGAAGGCGTAGTTGTTGTCTCTTGGCTTCGCTGGGGCAGGCATATTTTTGTTTTTTCCTCTGTTTCGCCGCTCTGTTTTTTTTTTATCTCTCTGTTAGTGCTTTGGTTGAGGTGGTTGTTCGGCGTTTCTGTGTTGCCAAGAATTTTGTCCGACTAAGAGCCCGTTTGGTAATAGCCAAATCGGCTGTATTGGCTGATTTTGTTGAAATTTATGAAGTTCTGGCTGATGTGGCTGTATTGACTGATTCTGCTGATTTGTGAAAAATAATAATTTAAAATACATTTTATTAATAAAATAAAGAAAAATTATATGAAAAAATAGCTAAAATGACCCTCTATAGTAACTTCAGCCAATACAGCCAGAAAAGTAACTCCAACCTTACTTTTTCTTATTATTACACAATTCAGCCCGAAAACCAAAAGTTACGCGTTTGGTGAAAAAGTTGGCTTAAAAGCCTGAAAAGCCAAAAAAGTTGGCTACCAAACAGGCACTAAGTTTTCTATGGTCGAGGGTTTGGTCTGTTCCAATTGTGAACGTGTTTGGGCTTTTGATCGTGAGTTCCGCCGCTTCTTCTTCCTTATCTCGGATTCGGCGTTCATTTTGTTGAATATTAATGGAGATCTTAAAAGAACAACAAGGTGGTGGTATTCCTGGAATAGCACCACCTAACATGCTGACATGTCCCGTAAACATGATGACTCCTTTAAAGGTGGATGGTCAAACCTCTCTTCCCTTTCCGGTGGGTGGTAAAATCGGGATGCTTTCTTTTGAAGTGGATGTACAAACCTCTTCTTCCTTCCTGGTAGCTGGTAAAACTGGAATACTTGAATTATGTTGTTGCTTATATTTCAAGAGTTCTTGTTTTCCCATTTTAGTAGCAAGTTAAACAGTGCTGTTAAATTAGTCTACATCGTTGCGGGGTTTGCGAATACGATTGGTCTTTGGGGCTTATCGATTCTATGTCTCGTTTCAGTGTAGCCTTGAACTATTGTATTGTTTTACCTCTTATTACTATTGTTAATAAATATGATTTTCTTCTTTCAAAAAAAAGGCAAGTAATCTAGGTTAATTTAGTAAACTAGCCAAGTAATCTAGGTTACACTAAATCAAATCAAAAAAATTACTGACAGGAAAATTGAAAATTACTCCGTATTTATGAATCCTGTTTCCATATCCCGATCTTGATAATCCTGATCCCTACAATCCTAATTCGACTATTCATGATCTTGCATCTTAATTGTGATTAATCTAGGTTATCTTTCTCTAATTTTTTTTAATGAAATCTCAACCTCAACTAGTGAGGTTGTTTGGCACTTGGCAATTTCCATCCCGATCACTTATTTTTATATAAGTATTACTTTTGTCACTTTGTGTGTACCTATGTGTCATGTGTGTGTACCCATGATCTATCATTCTATCTTCACTGGTCAATGATCATAGTATTTCTAGTGTATTTTGGCTTTGAGAGCTGCTTGGGATACCCCGATTTGTACCCCAAAGTGTACACCGTCTGTGTACACAGGCAATTCAGGGGAGTGGGTACAAATTGGAGTACAATTTGGGATACCTATAGAATTTTTGTTTGGCTTTTGGGTATTTCGGCTTCTGGGTTCGAATAACATACTCCGTAGTCCGTACTGTGCATTATTTTTCCGCAAGTTGTTTTCATTTTAATTTTTGGAGTTGAAAATTGATACCTTTGACTATTAATTGTCTAATAATTATTAATTATGTTAACTCAAAAATGTAACAAACGAAAGTATTTTAGGTAATTTATTTCTGTGTGTTTATATATTATTCAAATAATGTTGAATTCCCACATCGGAAACGTGTGATATATTATTAAGTGCGGCTATATTAAGATTTGATAGGCGGAGTAATTCATATTTTAATATATCACTTAATTCCTTCACACGTTTCCGGAATGGTTATAGATGTTATATGTAGGCAATTGTAAGTAATAAAGGTTAAAGATCTCATCACATTGACAAAAGTTAACTTGAGAACTTAAAGGAAGGTTTATTGTAAACTATGTAAAACTATATGAGTACTGATTTCATTGTTGAGAGTAATTTTGCGTAAAGATTCTGACTCATTAAGATTTGGGACGCGACCACTATCATTTTCTCATAATAGAGACAAGGGTCAATTGGGTCATCATAATCTCACTTCTAACAAAAATATAAAATACAGTGAAAAGAAAAGAAATGTTTAAGGGCAATATAGATTCCGTGACTATGGGGATATGGGGAATAAATTTCTCAAAGAGACAATTTTGGACAAATTAACTAATTAAGATGGAAAGAAAACAAAGTTCAAGCCACAAACATGTTCTAAGGGTAAATGGTCTTGAATGGGCATAAAAGGAAGATGGTGAAAAGACATGAAAATGGGTGAACCTGTTTCTAAATGAAATGAAAACGTTAATAAAGTTAAAGCTATAAAAAATATGAAAGCTACTCAATATAAAAATGTAATGACTGAGCTCACACCTTGTATGCTTATTTTTTCGTAAGTATGGAAGATATTATAGTAAATAATATAGTAAACACAGTATGTTTGAAACTT